TTTAATGTGTGTGTTTTCTCTCTCTCTCTCTCTCTCTCTCTCTCTGTAGACAATAACAATTGTCCTGAACCAACATCAAGTTCCATGTAACAATGCTACATCACTCTATTGTTTTCTTTTTGCAAATAAAATGAAACTAATACAGGAAATCCGAACAAGGACATCTTATTCTTTCTGTTAATAGAGGAAAAACACACAAACAAGGACATCTTTTAATAAATGCAGTCCTCTAATTTTATGCAACTATTATAGTTAAGCATGATACCAGCTGAAACGTATGATGTGTATAGCAAAGATGAACCTTAGGAAACAAAACAATATGAACTATCAAGACACAAATTGCAAGATCTGTATCTTCTACCACATTTTTGTGTATTTGCAAGTTCATTATGTTACACAAGCTAATGTTAGTTGTCACCTGTGGGACAGAAAGAAAGAGAACATACACAAGAAGCTAAAAGGAAAACAGAGGAAATGAGATCCAAAATACACTCACTTCGTACTCAGAAAAGGGATCTCGACAGCAGGATCTTGGAGATGAAATCAACAATCTCTTCCCTTAAAGATGAACAAAGAATAATTGAAGCGGCTCTCAAGGAAAAGCAGGATGAAATCAAGATGCTTAGAGAAAAACATATGGAAACAAACCCAGATAATTCCCATGTTAAGCTTCTTTCTGAATCATTGCGACAGAAGGAAGCTGAAGTTGAGGATTTAAAACACCGTCTTGAATTACCTGTAAAGGTCTGGTCAGTGAGTGCAGATGATCCATCAAATCCACCTATAAACTTCACCACCAAGGCTACTGAAAGAAAAGAAGCAAGTGAAGGAGAAACAGAAGAATCACATCAATCCTTTAGGAGAGATGACCAGAAGAATTCAACAGAAAATATACAGAGAACTGCTGATGAATCTGCCCTCAGTCGAAATGAAGGTACAAGGCAAGGTGAAGACAGAGGACAAGCACAAGATGGAGAGACATCTGCTGACAGGAAGAGCAATATTGGAGAACAGGAGTCTCAGGAGTTGAGAACTGATCAAGAAGATGTTCCAGGCAACAGAAGCACCAGTTTTCAGAATTTGGATGGCCAAAGAGAGGCTGCTGACAGTTCCAAAGCTGGGGAAAACTTCCTAGAAGAGAAAAGGTACAATAGCAGAAATGCAACTGTGGAATCTATCAATCATAGTGGTCTAGTGCAAAAGCAAATCAATGAAGTTGGTGTAGTAGATGCCCCAGACTGGAAAGAACATGGAAGAGCACTGGAAGATGATCAAGGAAATTTTGCGGATTCTCAAGGTAATAACCAGCAGTCTGGACGGAAGGACAATCCCAAGAGTAGAGATAGATCAAGAGTGAACCAGGAGAACATAAGAAAGACAAAAGGGAAGAGCCGACGAATAATTGCAGAGAGCAAGGTCACTGAAAGTGGAGGGCTTCCTGAAAAGAGAAGCATTGTAAGCATGAGAAACAGAAAGTTCTTTGAAGAAATGCATGGAAGTGAAACAAATGAGAGAATGGGAGGCAGTAAACAGGAGAAACAGGAACATCAGCAAGATCAAAATATGGACCTAAACAGGAATAACGGATCTGCTCCAGAAAATCAAAGGATTGACATGACCGATAAAAATCAGCAATTTAAAGATTTGGAGGAAACTTTTGGAAACCAAATCAGGTCAGAACAAGAACAGAGACCAGAAATGGGCAGACAGCAAATGCAAGATGATAGCTCAAACCTCGATGAAGCTCCACCACGTAACGCATTACTTAACCCTGAGAAATCTGCAGGTGCCAAAGAAAGTAGCCAAGGCAGGAAAGCTAACACAAATGAGAAAATTGAGAAAGGGCAAGAAAGAGAAGTCAAAGACGCAGAATCTGAGATAGCCCAGAGCTCTCAGGAAGTGCATGCGAAGATAGCTGTTTCTGAGGTCAACAGAGTTCCAAAAGAGGTCAGAAATAGAAAACCAGATGAAACTGCACAATCACAAGGCGCAACAGGCATCAATAGAAAACGTCAAGACCAAAAACAGGCTGTCAATCTTCACAATTCTCCAGAACATGCAAATATTGCTGAAAGAGACGTCAAAGCAGATGACCTTCAGTTTGAGAATAATCAAGAAACAGAAGGACAGCTAGACCAGTCTAAAGGAATTTCACAAGAGACCAGAGATCAAAAACCCAATAGAAATGCACAATCAGAAGAGAAAAACACCACTGTCCTTAAAGATACAGAGCAAAGGCTGGCCAGCAGCCTTCACAGTTCTTCCGCACATGCGAGAAATGCTGTAAGGGCTGTAAAAGATGGCAACCTTGACCCGGAGAATGATAAGGAAACAGAAGATGCAGACCATTCTGCCAATTTGGAAGAGGGGGAAGAAGACAAGGACCAAACAGCTGAGCCTGAATTTTAGGTATATAGTTGCCTGACAGAATGCCAAATGCTTTGTTTCATTTCAATGTTAGATCATCATGTTTTTAGTTTAGTATATTGTAAAGAAGATACTTGCGTCTTCTTAATTTCTCCAGCAGTTGAGTATGCTTATGAATGTTCAATCACTGTGATTTAGTTAAATTACTCTATTGTTTGACATTTTCACTAACCAACTACCAGTGAGAATAATTTGCATACTCCACTAGAAATACGTTAAGATTAGTGAATCTCCAAAGCTTTTAAGTAGATAGGATCTTCCAATTAATGCGTACACAATTTCCAGACTAACATGATTAAGATGACAATGAAGAAAGAAAAGCAAATGGAGAAAAACCAGTTCCACTTATCATAGCATAAGAAAGAAAGAAAGAAAGAACTGTACTACAGTGCTGATGCGACCAACTTTAGCCCACCATTTAGTAGCTCAGAAGCTATCTGGTGCTTTGTATAAAAAGAAGAAAGTTCATACAATGAGAGTTGAAGTTATCAGTGTCATGTCCAATAAATTGGATTATTAGAGAGAACTTCTCAATTTAGGACATGAAATATCCCAACCATAGCATGATACGACGTAAATTCCCACCTTATTGTGATGCTTGCACCAAATTCTGCACAAATAAAAAATAAAATAGGATATCATTCCTCTTTAACAGAGAAAAACTCACCCTTGTTTGCAGGGCAGGTAAAGGACACCCAAAAAGAAGCGATTATCATATCAGAAAATAATTCCTAATCTGCTATTATTTCAACTGACACAACTTCACTACACCAAATTTTAAAATTCGCATAGAATCTAATTCTATCTGGCATCGCACAGCTGGAAATTCTTGTTCTATTCAGGTATCAAAAATTGAGTTTTAATTAATTGCAGTGTTGTCAAAGGCTCATTTAAGGCGCGATTAAGCCCTGAAGCTCAAAAAAGCTCAGGGAGGGCACTCCGCCTCGCTTAAGTTGCGGTTTAGCATAGTCAAAGCACTAAGGCTGCCTGATTCCGCATGGGTTCTATCTTGATTGGAGCGGTCTTAATAACAAATAGAATTGGCATATAAATGTATTAGTTGTTAAAGAAAACATTATGAATGAATTTGTTACTTTTTTTTCTTGAATAACATATACTCCCTCCGTTCCAGTTTATGTGAACCTATTTCTTTTTTGGTCCATTCCAAAAATAATGACCCCTTTCTAAAAAAAAAATTCTGATAAGGTAAAGGTTTCCCCTTTCTAAATTTGGAAACAATCTAGCGTAAACTTCCAATTCTACCTTTAATGAAAAGCTTTTATAACCACACAAATAGTCTGGACCCTTTCTGACATGTTTAGGAGCACAAATTCCAAAAGTCTTCATTTTTTCTTAAACTCCGTGCCCAGTCAAATAGGTTCACATAAATTGGAACTGAGGGAGTATAATTACTTTAAATGCGCTTTGCAACTAAAGCCCCAATAGACCTGGAGCGTTTTTAGAGCTTTTCGCCTTTGACAACACTAATTATTTGCTTGCTTATATGAACTATCATCAATATGAGAATTCACTTAAATGTAAACCTTGCAGGACTTTTTTCTTCTTTCGAGATTAGGGTACACACTAAGTAAATATATTAGTATTTGTTTCTGAAGAAAGGTTTTATCAACAGTATACTCGAACCTCTTTCTTTCTTCTAATTGAAGAAATCCCTACCTAACCAAGTTTGTTCGAATTTCCATTTCTCACATTTCTTATGACCGTAAAGAATCTGTAGCAATGTTATTAAACAAGAAAAGCTTCTTCAAAAAGTACTAGGGAAATGTGTTGGATATTTTCAACAAAGAAAATGCATTTGGATTATTTAACCTATTTCTTGAGCAAATGAAACAGCAATAAGTATCATCTATTATTCAGAATAGGTGAACCCATAGAACTGCATATGGAAAGGAGGCATGTTTGTAACTTTAAAATACCAAATGGCCACATGACTCCAATATGATATAACTAACTGCTTGAATAAAAAAACTTTGGCGCTTGACACCTCTATAAATCCCCCAAAACGCCACCTCCAGTCTTTCTTCACTTCTCCCTCCTTGCACTTAAAATAGACAAAATTTACCAAACACAATGGAAGCTTAAGAATTGTTCTTGTTCTCACTATGTCTAGCCCTTCTAATCATATATCTAAGGTGATACACTCTCTATCTTCCCTCACTGATACGGGAACTTACATTTTCAATCATTCAACTGTGCCTCAATTTCAAATTAGTTAGGCCTGACTATATGAAACATTTGCATCCAATTGACTTTATTCGAGTCACTCAATATTCAAATTTCATCAAATTTAAACCATTTTTAGCAGGCCATCAAGCTTTTGTGATCCTCCTAATTTATCCGAATTTGAAACCGGCAACGCTTTGCGAAGCTCAAGCAAAGTTAGGTAAAACCTATTCTTTGATGCATGAAAATTGTGTGCCAAGAAAATTGCATGAAAACTGATAGACTACACTTGTTAGCAATGACCAATCATATGCCCTATTACATAATTAATTATACACTTGGCCAGGAAAAGTTTAGCCGAAAACTATTTGAGCATGATGTTGTAATAGTGTTATTTCTCTTTGCACCAGCGACCATCAGGAAGAGGGCAGTTATGGAGCGAAATACAAATTAAGTGCCCTTTTTGCAAGTTTCACGTTCACTATTTTTAATAAAGAACGCCACAAAGCATCTCTTTAGGAACTTATAGAGACACGGACTGCTGGTACATGGTTTTTAACAAAGAAGACATTGAAGTTTCCTGATTCAAGCTTGGTTCCCAAACAGCAATTCAATGCTTTTTCGTTAGATGTTCCAGATAGCCTTTTAATGTTTTAAACAGGCTATTGAATTTACTCGACACTCTCTTCTCAGTCTCATCCTAGGTTCATTGATATTCTAACTAGATTGAGCAATCTATTGAAAAACATTACTTATAGCAGATATGATTGACTCTGTTTCCTCAATCAATTTATCTCAATTTATATGATTGAGCAATCTATGTGCACTTTCAACAGAACAGACAAGTACCTCTTCTTTGTTCTTCTTGCCTCCAGTGAAGAGTTTGTACCCACCATAGAAAAGCAAGCCCCAACCGGACAAAGACACAATCACAAACTGCAAAGACCAAGAGAAATATTATTGCAAGTTTTTGCATTTACATTCCAAAAAACATCAACAGATAACCTTTGCATTTACATTCCAAAAAACATCAAAAGATAACCTTTCCATTTACTTTCCAAAAAGCATCAAAAGGCAACCTTACTAAGGTTAAGAATGTGAATTTCCAAATACAGATTTAATAGGAATAAGGTTGATCCTATTTTAGGACTCTAGTTTAGCCAAATAGGATCAAATTGGGTCCAAAAATGGGCTAAACCTATATTAGTTTTACACCAAAAAGAATTGAAACAAAAGTAGTCGGGGTTTAGTTTGGTCAAGGAAAACAAGCACCAGCTCTCCTAACACATTTCTCTATTTTGTTTCTTTTCAATTTTTTCAAATTACTCTTTAGTTATTTGGAAAAAGCACACTTTCTCGTATCATATATGAGATATGTCATACAAACTTTATATAAATAAGCGTAATTTACTAGGTTTTTCAAAGTAAGATCGAACAAGATCATGATCACTAACAGTGATAAATTGGATATGTACAGTTGCACTAAAAATTCCATTTTGCATTTATTTATTTCGATAAAACTATACTTATGTCAAAAAACAAAGCCTCAACATTGCTTAAACTCAATACTGAGCTATATGTACTTCTATTATCCTGTTTTCTCTTTATGACTACTGTAAGTGAGATTAAGGGTTCTAGAAAACTTTTCTAGTAGTTACTGATTCTGTTCCCATGGACTCTTTTAGTACCTATTCATCCTTGATATGGATGTGTCTAGGCACATTCAAGTTGCTCCGCTGATATTATCTTCTTCTTCTTTTCTTTTCTTTTTTAATTAAAAGTGGTGACTGGATGAGCTTGTGCCCACCTTGACTATCCATCAAGTACTCGCTATCCCCACCGACATAGCTACCAGGTAACACCTACTCTGTTGGTAGTGCCTTAACAAAGTCTTTGATACAAAGACATTTTGAATGCATAGTGTACAGATTGTTCAAATCTAAATTACCTATTTACATATACTATCATACCTAGTCTTTCCACAGTTAAAAAACCAGCTTCATTGTCTTCAATACTCCGTCCTGGTTCATGTAACACCTTGTTATTTTAGAAATCCCACAATAAGTTATACTCTTCAAATTGAATTTAAGTTATATACACTGAGTAATGCATTCTTTACATTATCAGTATAATTTAATTTGTTATTCCAACTTACCATTTATATTACATTACCAATCAGCGTTATTAAATAGCCTTTTAAACATGATTGTGTAAAAAAAATTGTAAATATTTTTTGAATCGTCAGTAATTGAACTCTTTCAAGTTACAAGTTTGATTTTGCATGATTATTACAAGAAGAACTGAATATATAATTTTGTATAGCATTTTTTCCGAGAATATGTGGCATCATACAATAATATTTTTTTGGAAATTTTGAATCCTATGATATTCCGAGTCGCAATTGCCAAACTAGCACAAGCATTAATTCGGTAAATCTCCAAAAACAAATTACTCCTTTTGAACAAACAATCAAGAAAATGGTAAAAACTACACCCGCATACAGTGTTTACACCAAATCAATAAAATGCCACACATGTGTCTTTCATACACACATTTACGAATTAATCATTGTTTAGTGATATGTATTATTACTTTAATGTTTGTTGGCTGAGGTTAAATTGCTTGATTTGGTGTAAACAGAGCGTGCGTATAAGTTTATACCAACGAAAATTAATCTATTACATTTATAAAAAAAAATATGGAAAAAGAAAAAAACAATTAAACTATCACAAAACAAAGTTTCATCCATAACGTGGATTTTATAGTAAGAGAACTAACATGTTCTTCCTTCCATTGGG